CAGGAGAGCCTTGGTGCATATACCAGGCACTTTGTAGATGAGTCAGGACACCTTAACTAAATCCATTCATTACCCTGTCCCCATTGGGACAGGCAAAAGCTGCCAATTTGATGTTGGTAATGTGGATGCTGCGTTAGGGAATTGGCTAAGCCTGCCAGAATTCATTCCTGAACTTTAGCAGCCACAAAAGAGTATTTCTCTGTCGTCTGTAATTGATTCAGAGCCAGGTCCCAAAAGGACAAGCTTCCTTTTGTGTGCCATCTATACCAGGGTCTAAGGACACACAGTGCTACAACCTTTTTTTTTTTTTAGCTAGATCACAGGAAACATCTTTAAAAAGAAAAGAAATAAAATCCAAAATGTCATAAATTATACTCCTGAGCTTTCTAAAATACATTATTTATTAGCTTTATTATTACATTCTGGTCCATACTTTCAGAAAACAGTAACAGTCAGTTTATTATAATCTGAGTATTTAATGTCAATAGAGTGTTACCGTTTGGAGATTAAATTAGGTCTGAAACCAAAATAGAGAAGAAATTTGTACAAAAAAATAAAATTTCCAGTGCTTCAGCTCAGTGAGCACAGTACTTATTATCATCAGTTCATATTCAGGTCAGATTCCTTTTTCTTTTGAAAAACAGGTTGAAAACCCCTTTGAAGGTTTCTTCCATCTTCCCTTTACCCATCTGGTTATAAATTCACTAATATTATTCGTCATTACTTTGTGTTTCATATTTGCATATTCTGTATCTACTGTGTAATGCATTAAAAATTTCAAGATACTATCAAATACTCCTAAGAAGAATTATGAAAATTTATACACCTTATTAGCATCATCAGTCCATCATGGCAACATTCTCAACTCATTCTGTAGAAAATATTCTAGGAATTTAACAAGTAGGACTCTTAGACAGTAAAATTGTTAGCCAGTCCCAGTATATTCCTGTAGAAGTGGTTTGCCTATGTGCTTTTGTTTCAAATGGTTTTAAAAATGCCAGAGTATTCTCACAACTTCTATTCCCAGTGTTCACCGTAGAAGTGACTTTTGATTTGTTGAAGAAGGCATCATCTGTCTGAACTTCAATTTGTTCACTGTATCTTTTTCTTGTATTCAAGTACGGGTATATTCTATTAGAAATGTTTTTCAAAATGCTCGTTAAACATACAGACTTATTCACATGAAAGCACACAAGTGCTATAAATGCTCAGGATAGAGCCAGGAACAGAGAAACCTGTGTGTGGAGGGCTAATCATAGTTCAAACCCAATGGTTTTAGTGGTGAAGCCTTCCTTCTCCTTCCCACCCACTCAGCAGGGGCAAGCAAAAGAACCCAGAATGGGTGAGGCCCAGTCACTATAAATGTTCAGATGTTTAATGAATGTGCCATAGCTTTCACCTACTAACTGCAAGGCCTTCTCAAGCAGACTCCAAATTCCTGCTGAAATGAAGACTTTCTTTCCTGGAGTAGGCCTGGCATTCCTGGGAAACAATGGCCCTTTTCAAGTCGTCTCTGAAATTTCACAGGTGAAGGGAACAGGGCAGTCATTTGATCCCATCCACAAGGAGACTGTTAGCATTTTAAAAAGTGAAGACAGAGTCTATCATGGAAGCACTGGTAAAACTGGTTAGTGACAGAAAAAGGCAACCTAGACCCACTGCTCAGGAGACCCCTGTGAAGCATACATCAGTTTGTCTTTTACTTCACGCTACGACTTCTTAAATTTTTTCAAGCATGGGCTCCACAGCCCACAGAGCTCAGGAGACGGGCCTCTAAGCTGTATCACATGCTTTGGAACAGTGGATTTTATGATTCCTTTAGCCAGAACTTCACTTTGAGAAGTACAAATTAAAAAAAATCCATTGCCAGAATATAGATTTGTGTATAGATTTGTGTATAGAGAACACTTATAAGTGATAACATGAATTCAGGCTTTTGGAATGTTCTTTAGTGGCCTTATTTCAGAAAGACAACCATATCACAGTAATTCCAACTGATTGGTTATAACAGCATTATCAAAATCATTAGAAAACATTCAGAAGTACATTCAGAAAACTTAGGAATGGGATTCTGAGTTCTACCTGTGCATTGGTAACACAGTGCACTCAGAGCATAAAAAAATTGGACTTGCAGATCCTGCTCTACTCCAAACATCCAAACACCATATTCTGAAGGGACACAAGGACTCTCAGTTCTGTCAAGAGAACTGCAGAAAGACAGAAGCCTCACAGATGATTTGATGGATCACAGAATCATAGTTTAGTTTGGGTTGGCAGGAACCTTTAAAGGTCATCTAGTCCAACCCCCCTGCAATGAGCAGGGACATCTTCAACTAGAGCAGGTGGCTCAGACCCCTGTCCAATCCAACCGTGAATGTTTCCAGGGATGGGGCATCTACCACCTCTCTGGGCAAACTGTTCCATTGTTTCACCACTCTCACTGTAAAACATTTCTTTCTTATCTCTAGTCTAAATCTATCCTTTTTTAGTTTAAAACATTACTCCCAGTCCTATCACAAAAGTCTGTCTCCATCTTTCTTATAAGCCCCTTTTAATTTTGAAAGGCTGCATTAAGGTCTCCCCGGAGCCTTCTCTTCTCCAGGCTGAACAACCCTGTTAGGATTCTAGAGGGCTTTCTGCGAGAGAATGGCCATGTGAGCAATCCTGTGTGAGAACAAGACTGATAAGAGCCTCAGCTGAGCAAGAATGCGATAAGGATGTGACCCTGAATGAGAGGGGAGAAACTCGACGAGACAAACAACCCCCGGAAGGGGTTGGGATGGAAGAGGAAGTTACACAAGGCAGGAAGCCTGGCAAGGCTGATGTGGTACTTTTTATCCAATCATAAGAAGGTTTAAAGCGTGGGCTAAGTTAACTGTCCAATCTTGAGGACTTGTACTGCATGTTACTCACGTGTGCGGGAGAACACTATCAAAGGGCTTTCTTAGTTGTAATAAACGGGCATTGCTTGATCACGTTGGTCGTGTGCGTGCTCAGCTCTCCCACACAACCCCAACTCTCTCTATGTAGGAGAGGTGTTCCATCCCTCTAATCACTTTTGCGGCCCTTCTGTGAACCTGCTCCAACAGGTCCCTGTATTTCCTGTGCTGATGAAGTACTCCAGGTGGAGTCTCACCAGAGCCAAGAGAGGGGCAGAATCACCTCCCTCAACCTGCTGGCCACAGGAGGATGGGAGGTAAATATTCAGAATCAGCACTTCTTAAACTGGAATATGACTCCAATTCATGTTACAGGAGATTATTTTCTTCCCATACTTAAAAAAAAACCAACCCAACAACAACAACAAAACAACCCCAAAAAATCCCAACTCACTTCCATTTAATAATTGTTATACTAAGAAGTATTTTACCTCTAAAATTCAGGCAATTTATGCACTCTCTGCCTACAGCATATTATAGATAATATTATGTGCAGTTATCTTTCTTAGGAGAACTTGAAGGTTACTTGAATACTGAAACTCATTAAAGAGTTCAAATTTAAACAACTTTCTGAGAGCAAACATGGGTGAATTAACCAGGTCATTTGATAAGCGAAAGTACCAGCATGGGAGCTATATACATGCTTGAGACAAGCTAATAATGACTATTAAGTAAGAGACCAGTATTTCACATATGCTACTGACCTAACTCATCAAGGCAGGTGAAAGGTGCCTTGGTTTTATTCAGTGTTTATTTTGAAACAGCTAATTCCCAATATTACAAGGGGAACTTTGCTTCAGTGTCTCCTTCACTTTGTGTCTTTGTTCCATAACAAAGATTAATTGCTTTTCTCTCATAAAAAAATCCAAATTACTGTCAGGGAATAGATTGTTGTTTAACATTTTTTTGTGAGAATCAATGCCCATTGTCTCAAGTGTAAAGAAAAGTGAAAAACAATTACCTTAACTAAAAGCCACTGTAACACTATAGCCAACCTGCATTTCCATCTTGAGTCCAAATTTTGCTCTTCGACAAAATGAAGATCTGCCTCATCATTTTTCCAGTTCATGTCATTAACAGAATTAATTCCCTTTTCTCCTCAGGAAAAAGTCAAGTTCATAGGTAAGCTGATCAAGAAATAGTGAGAGAGAAAGTTTGAGGTGGTTCATGTGCCTAAGATAAGAAAGCATTACCTTGCATAACCTATAGGAATTATGAGCAGTTTGGTATTTAACATAAGGAGGATTCCATTTTAAGTCCATCTTGGTTTTACAGCGTACTATTTATAGCCATTTCACTGAGATGTTCAAGCCAAAATGGACTGTAATCACTAAGAAGAATTTCTGAAGAGAAGCAAAACTTCTATAGCTTCCTCTTTCCACCCTTCATTTTGTCTTCTCTCACGTACATGTATATGGTCTTTTTTTATTCTTTTAGGCAAACATCACTGGGGCAAATATGTTGATTGGTGCTCATTGCTATGTAAAGAATACACTTCTCAGTAAACATGATGCAGGCATACTGCCCTACCTCAGGCCTGATAGTTAGAATATTTCTAGGCCTATTTTGCAAATTCTGAGCAGTTTTGCTGTTGTGAGGATACAGTGGTGCTTATATTACCATTGTTGAATACCTGGACTATTATTTATTTGGTCTTGTATTCCTTGAGCTCGTCCCAGCATACTTTGCCATTACTGGAAAAATTTATCTAGCTTCCTGCCTCATTTCTTGGACACCACAAAGCTGAAAATCACCCTCTGGGTTTATTTCCCCATTACTGACAGCTGCCTCCACATCATTAAGCTTAGCAGTAGCATAGTCAGAAGGGAGCCCTGAGCGAGACAGTCTGTGCACGCAGAGTGAGGCAGCGGGGGAAGCTGCCAAGGATTTGCTTCTTGGGTGAGCAGGGAACAAGGGAGCTCTGGAATGTGCTCACAGAACTTGTGCTGAGGTGCTTTCCAAAGAAAGTGGGTCAGCCATGCCACCCTCACAAAGACTGGTACAATCTCCCGCAGGGAGAAGATTGTTTTACACAGGCGCTCCACCCATACTGGCAGAGAAACAGGGCTTATTGGCACAGGGAAGGACTAGTTGGTGGTCAGCTCTCCTTGGAGCAAGTCTGACTGAAAAGGCTGGAAGCACTTGCGGAGGTATGTGAGGCAAAGAATGATGTTAGAATACTATTTTTTTTGTTGTTGTTTTTGTCATAGAATTGAATTTAATAACTACGATATTTGGTATAGCAAAGGACTTTAGAATGACCTGGGTAGCTCTTTTGGCAGCCTTGGTCTTGCTTTACCACAAGAAACCCTCAAGATCTTTCAATCATTGTCACATCTTGGAGTTCCCTTTCAGTTTTTCTGCAAATCTCCCTTTTAGTACTGAGTTTGAATTGTTGATGGCTTGTGACTGAAGAAAGCAGGAGGAGGAGTACCTTGCTATTTGGGGTATCATTAGTCCCATTCAGTTCCTCTATTTGTATGTGTGGAAGTTGGGTTTTGCTCGTTTATGTTTCACCACACTGCTGTTTGAGTTGGCAGCATTATACTTTTTATTAGAACATACATAGGTTCAGAAATTGATGAAACAGAAATAGAAGGTTCACTGTAGTCTACTCTTTTCAGGGAAAATAAACATCAGAGGATGCTTAAAAAAAATCCCATGATACATCTTCCTGATTAGCAACTAAAATCTAAATGACTCCTTCTTACAGGCAAGCCTAACCAGAAAGATTATGCTAAGCTTTGCTTAAAGGAACGTATTTATCTCTCCATTTTTATTGTTTTCACAAGTTCTCACTACTTCAGAAGCATGGCATGGATTATATATTTTGCTTTAAAACTATGTGTTTCTGTAAGGCTCATCAATTAGGGAATGAAATCCTCAGGATTTTAGAAAGCAGTTTACTGCAAGCACGTTGCCCTTTCCTTTTCCTACCTTTAAAGTAATGGAAAAGAGTGGGGATTTTTTTTCCTTAAAAGAAGGAAGAATAGTTTTAAACACCAAAAAGGCTACGTTCAAGGTTTTGTAGGAATTACAACTAGGAAGATAAGACAAATATTATCAATTATATCAGTACTAACTGTGGCAGAACGTGGTGTGTACTAGTGTTCTTGGTGAGACACACAGTGCCTGTCTGTTAGCAGATGCTTTGGATATTTTCCATCACTGGGCTACCCAAAAGCAAGCTGTATTTTTGAGTGCCCACCACTGGAGATGGGCTAAATTTGTAGTACTCATTACCTGTAAAGAGTACCAAAATAGCCACATGAAACCTGACCCACACAGAACCTCAAAACACCAGGGCTGAATGTTTGCTGCTCAGAGCTGAAATGTGCTCTCTCTTCCGCACCTCCTGTCCTAGCTCTCCCCAACTCTTGGAGGATAAATAGGACCATTCATACAACAGAGACAGAGAAATAATTTTGAAAGTTATAAAAAACTCCCAGTAAGGATTGATACCTCCTACAGTGCTAGCCACGATACTAATGATGATAAAGCTACATCCTGCATGTGCAGGCTGGCATCCTTTTTACTGTATATTACTTTTTATACTTCCATGAGGCTTAAAGTCAGTGGTAAAACTCCCATTGGACCTAGATGTCTCCAATCTTTAGAGCTTAAACATACATAGGCTTCTTTCAAACATAGCACTATATATTCCGTCAGTACACTGCACTTTAATTGCCCCTTTCCCTTCCTCTTTGTGCATTATCTGATGTATTACTCTAAAAGCTCTTTGGATCATGGGATAGTGTCTACCTGCATGTTTATGCAGGCAGAGCTAGGCTTAACATGAACAACATTAAAAATTTTAGTGACCCTGTCCTGCAGAACTGTCTAGTCTGAGATTATATCAACCAAAGCCCATTATTCAACTCACATGTGGGTTTGTTGGGGCTGGTATAACATTTTGGCCATAAGCGAACAGCAAAGTGTTCTGCTCACAAGACCTGCTCTCTTCCTACTGAGATGTTTTAAAACTTAAAATATCTTTCTATTTTCCCTTCTCCTTTCCCCTTTCTTTCCTTCCTTTCCTCATTGGAAGCCATGCAAGAAAACAGTGCTGATGATAGGGCAAGGAAGCATAGTAGTTATGGTCCTATTGATGTTTACCAATTTTTCTGGATATTTTCAGCTTTTACAAAACTGGGTTCTAGATGATCTGTGGCAAAACCCACAAGACTGGAGGTATTCTTTCAGAGTTACTGGCAAGAATAATTGCTCTGAATCAGAAAATATTTTGGGTGGCAAATAATATTAGTACCCTCCTCAGAAGATTCTATGATTGTAAGCACACATGGTAATGGGTGGGAGATACAAGAAAATGTATGTTGTCTCACTGAGTGAGCGCTAAAGGAATCAAGTGAAGTCCTCATTAACATGGAGGGGAGAAGGGAAGGGTAATGCTTCCTTCCTGTCACACCCTCAGCAGAGAACCAGTGTAGATGTTATGTAGCACCTACAGGTTTGGTTTTAATGACTGCATTTCACTAGGAGTATTTTTCTTTGTTGACTGATTCCCATTCAGATTTGCACTGGTACCTAATAAGTGGATTTGTATCGCCTAGGTCAGGGTTAGATACGAAGCCTTGCAAAAACAACCCACTCAGAAAACAACAAAATGGAAAGAAAAGAAGGAGAGAAAGTATTTGTTAATTCTGAGCTGTTGGTAACCCAAGGAAAACTGTTAGAGGATGTAGGCCTGGAAAGAACTAGTAGGATGCAAATGATACACAGAGTAACTTTCATCAGTTCCAAGCAAACAACATCAGACTAAAATCCTCATTTTCCTCTGCAGGCATGAAATACATAAAAAAACTCTGAATCAATTTAAGATGTAAAACAGCCTCACTTTATTAGAAAAGCCCAAGGACATTTTGACTGGACTTCATTCTTTGTCAACAGCATAAACTGCCTCATAATTCGTTAAGTATTGGAACATCTCTCTTTTCAAAATAGCTATAAAAAATTTAATTGTAATGAAACTACAAGGAAAGTTGCATTATTGTCCAAGAAAATAACGATTTAGATTTCTTATTATACCATCAGTCATGTTTTTAGTAGGAATATACTGGTAATGACTTAGCAAATTACAGTCAAATACATTTCTTTCTAGCTTCACAAAACAAGTAGTGTATTTTCCAAAGAATGGCAAAGGTACATTATTGTACAGTTTAATGGCATCTCACATTATCAGCAGTCCAGAATTGAATTATAGAGATCTGTAATTCCCATCATGCTAATAGTCAAATGCAATTCTAACATCAATAATTTTGTTTGTTGAAAACAAAAAGTAAAAGTTAAAAGTAAAAGTTAAAAGTAAAAGTTAAAGCTGAAGTCTTTCAAGGTTGAACAGTAAAGAATTAAGAAACATGCAACAATATTTTAATTGCTCTAGAAGGCTTCTCCTTCATTTATGCTTTGCAAAACAGAAGTAATTCCACAAAAGTTAGCAGAGTTTTACCTAATTCAAATTTGTGCAAAGTCATTATGCAAGTCATATGTTATAGAGTTTATTATTAACTGTTTCTTAAAATAAAATTTGTGATGTGGGTTAATTGGGCTCCATGTAGCATCCCAGATTAATAATTTTAGAGTGTGGAGACTCATTAAAGAGTGACAAATACAAAACAAAGTTTTTTATGCAATGTCTCATTTAAATTTATGGTTAAATAATAACTTCAGTAAGATAAGGGGGTAAAATAGAAGATTTTGGTAAGATAGTAGATTTTGTCATGCTTTAGTAAGAGATTGGGGGTTGCAATTGTTTTTGATCTTCTCCTGAAAATGAAGCAAAATGCAATCAGAATGTCAGGTAAAGACTTTTCTATGTATTATATTTATTTTTTTCCCTGAGTTTTCTCTAATTATAATTCTCTATATGGAATTTCAGCTATGTTTTATATGATGCAGGATGTGAAATTTAGGACATCAGCTACGAATGAGCAATTACCACTGGTCTTGAATAATTATTTTGTTAAAACTGTATTGGAAGGTTGCTATAAATATCTAGTCATGAATGACACCTTTTAAAGAAACATTGTGTTGAGGGGTGGACATGTAGTGCAACTCTGGAATGTATCTTTTATCTTCTGACATTCTACAGATCGGGAATACAAAATATGGCTTGAAGTTTCTTCTGAATGACATCAATCCCATTTTGATTACATTCTCCCTCAACGTGCATCATCTGTATTAATGAAGTATGGTAACTGATTTCCAAAAACATATATACAAAGCAAGTTTTTAGAAAGATCCTAATCCAAAACTTGCCATGTCATTGGGGCTCTCCTTTTGACTCCTGTCAAGAAGTCCATACAGGATGGATTACATGCACTACCAGATAAATGCAACTATGAGAGTGGCAAAGAACTGAGTATCTTAAGGTATAGCAAGTAAAAACTGAAATGATACATACTTTTTAACAAAAAGGAAATAGAGAGGTTTCAACACTTGAAAGAAAACATATCATCATTCTAATGTTATGATCACATTTCTGTCCACCATCACTAGTAAAATACTGTAATTGCTCTATTGAAAACGTGCTGTCAGTAGAATTCGAACTATACAGCTAGCGTGGAACTGGAAAGAGGAATAATGCACCTTTATTGCTATTTTTTTTGTGTTATTCTTTAAACTACCTTATACAATTCTCTGGAAGAGGTATTTTAAGCCTCTATCTCAATTTTTAACCTCAGAAAACATGGCATTTTATTCTTAAAGTTATGGAACTTTTCAGATTATATTTTGGCATCACCTTAAGAGCCATTGAAAACTGCAGAAGAACATATGCCTAAAAGCTTGGAACTTACTCACTTTGAAAATTCACAAAGGCAATAATGTCCAATTTAAAAAAAAAAAAAAAAAGCGTGGGCAAAGGGAAGCAACTGGAACTCTGTTTCACCTCTGAAACATTTGTTGACTCAAATCCTTTGAAGTATGAAATTCAGCAAAAATACCAGGCAATAGGTTTCACTTGAGTGAGGACTACAGGAATTTGGGTAGGCTATTATTCATTCCCTTTCTCTCCTTTTCTTCACTGGTGTATAGTAGCCTCCCATTCCAGGAGGGGAAGCTAAAATCTGCTTTTCTAGAACTATGACAGGACCTAGGTCTTGCAAAGCCCCTTCAGAGACCTTTCTCAAAG